TCAATTAAAGCAAATGCTATGATAGTGACTCTGTACATCCATCAACATATACTTTAGATCGTAGCTACCCATAACATTAACCCCATGATTAACTAAACAACCATAGTTTAATGGCCACCGCTAAATCAAAATTTCGAATCCTTTCTTTACAAAATACCAGATATCTTTGGGAAACTACGGGTTGGCAACGTTGCTCGAAAAGATGTGGTAATGGGGGAATTCAGACGCGATCGGTTCAGTGTGTGCGTTTGTACAACGGCACGCGGGTGTCTGTGCGTTCGAGCAGATGCCGAGAAACGTCTCCACCTGTTGAATCAAAAACGTGCAACCAACGGCCATGCCCAGCCTATTGGAAAACAGGAAAATGGTCCCAGGTAAGTTTCCCGCCATTAGATCTGTCCACACATGAAGTTTCATTTGACAACTGTTACGAGTGTCTCCACTCTTTTCTTTAATAATTATTACCATAGAGGGCTCTGTCACTACACCCTAATTTGCATTGCAAATTAATGTGACTGCTCTGGAAAAAGGGGAAAGTGGGTGTGGCAGAATACAGAAGTAGAACCTTGAATTAGTAAGGGGACCACCTGTTTACTGAAGTCTAGCTATGTTAAGAGATAATGTACACGGTATGTTTATGGCTCAGTGCCAGGACCTCTTAGACTTTTCATAACAACTACATGAGACTTGCCCCATAATGGGTGTGATATTATATCCGCATGGACACTGATGTGTCTTACCGAAATACCATTAGACTGCATTCAAACCGAAACCGAAATTTTGAATCGGAAATACATTATAGCTCAAATCATTAAGGAAAGCAATCCCATACTATAACCTCCTTTTCTTGTACAGTGCTCATCAACGTGTGGTCTCGGTGTTAAGATGCGTTCAGTCACGTGCTCGAAACCAAAAAGCGCTGGTACTGAGTACAGCTGCTATGACTCAAAGCCGAAAGCCATCAAACAGTGTATCAAGCCATCATGCGATGAAGGTAATTATTAATCAATCAGTCAATCAATCATATATTCAACCTATATCAGTCTGTCAGTCAATAAACTAACCACGAAATTTAGTGGATTTGTAGCTTCGCGGTAATTCACTTTTCCTTCCAATTCGAGCGTTCTGACTACAAATCGTGTAAAACGCCAGATATTTCTCATCATATGATCATTTCAATTTTTGTTACAACTTTTGCCACACCATCCCGCGCGCATTGACGCAAACTTAATATTATACGAACATCGATGTTTTTAAACTTGTGTATAAAAATCAAAATGTTAACAACATTGTGGTTTTAGTTTCTTAAAGTGACTTTATGAATTACCAGTACATTACGTACTGTAGTGCTCATGTCATTATCTGCGTTGTACGATTGTCTACTATCTCCGCAATCGGTGGCGTTGATGATGACCACTGTTTAACAGTGACAGTCTGAGCCGACCGTCACTAACAGTGATCCCTTAATGCTCATAAAATCTTTACACATTCAAAAGCAAATCTAACCATTTCTCGTAAACTATTTTCAAATTCTGAAGAAGACAGATTACAAGATACGAAAGGTGGAAATCAATGCTACAGTTCTATATTCCTAAAGTGTAGCGTTGTTTGCGTCACCGACAACAGTACAATCAACCAAAAGCCAGAGGCGCGCAGTACCGTATAGGCAAAGCAGTCAAAGTAGATAAATTACTAAAATTTCAATCAACTACAGTAATAGTACAAATAGTCATCATTCGAGATCCTTTGTAAGTAAAATATAATATGTTTATGTTTACATTGCAGGTTGCAAAGCCGTAAACAATCCCATGTGTGGACCCAGTTTATACAAAACGTACTGCTCTTTACGTGGGTATAGGAAGTTCTGCTGTAGGTCCTGTGACGAGATGAGATTTATATATGCGCAAAGCAAGAAGAAAGGGAGAAAGTAGTACCGGCAATACCTCACGATCCAAATAAAACAGTGAACTGATGTCTTTCCGTATAACCTCATGTACTGTTTTACAGCAGATACTAATGCACTTTAAAGTTAACGCAATTGGCTTTATGTAAATTTCGTTGCAGATTGTGGTTTTCTTACCAAAAAAAAAACAAAAAAAAATAAACAATTCGTAGTTAACTGTGGTGCATGCTCGTATCCAAGGTCAATCGATTTAAACCTATGATGTTTATTTTTGTCGATTGATCTTCATACGGGCATGCGCAGTTTAAACGGCTTATCCGAACGAACGGCTTATCCGAGTCAGTATTTGCTGATAACATGCCAGAGTTATAAAAAGGTCAAACTATTCATTTGCACGACTGTAGGCTTTATAGCCTACAATGCCCCCCATGTAGACCTTTCACCTTATGTATATAAATATTTCAACATTGATTCCTACCTTAAATGTAATTTTTAATTTATTTTCTTGTACTTAAATTAATAAATAAACGATAATTTTTAACAAAACATTGTTTTAGAAGAATATTGGTAAATTAAACATACCAATTATTATTTATTATTGTTATCATTATTTAATCCAAATATCATTATTGTTATTATGATTGTTGCAGTTATTAATATTATTATCATCATTATTATTAATATCCTTAGGCCTCATTACCATTACAATAACCATTACATTAATTACCATTCCTGTTTCTAAAAACCAATAATAGACTTATATAGAGGAGTCTAAAACAAAATAATTCACATTTTCGAAACAGTATTAAGTAGGTTTACTGTGGTAAATACCGGTAGGTACAGTTAAAAAAAAACTATTTGCCTTCAAATTGAACCAGGCCTGCATCGTTAACTTTATCTTGTTCAATATGTTCAATATGTTTTATTCAATCTCAAATTAACGCTGAATTACATGAGAATACAAAAAGATTACATAATTGAGAACATTAAAATTAAATTGAGACCTATAAAACTAGAAATATGATAAAATGCATTAGATCAAACATTAAAATTCTGTGTACATAATAAAATATCCAAAAAACACAAGGGATTCTATAGAGCCTATTTTTTAAGGATGTTCGTGGAAGTAACAATACCTATAATTGCATTAATACAATTACGTCACCCAATAATAATATATTTCCGCCCATCCGGGTCAGATATCTTGACTAAACCCTATTATTTAAGCACCACTAAACCCTATTACTGTACTGTAAACACTATGTTTCTGTAGCTCTTAAGACTACGAGGAAAACAATTGAGTAATAGAATGAGAGTTCTACGTGAACGCGTAACACGTGCGCGCTTGGATAACATCTTCGATAAACAAACTGGTTCCTCCTCGTATATAATGCACAATGGCGATAGCCGAAGGCCTACTGATGGTAGCACAATTACACGGTACACCTAGGCATGTTCTAGATTGGCAGATAGTCTCAAAGACGTATTGGTTCGTTTTGAACCGTACACCAGTTCTCTGTGAAATAAAACGCAACATATTAGTTGTGATTTTCCTTACTCCCCATTCAATTGTTTGATTTTGTATTACATGGTGTTGAAGAACATTAATATATATCTACTTTGGCCCTGTAACTTTATTCAGGCTCAGGCAAATTTGTAGGATGGAGATGTTAAGTCTTCGGTCTCATCATCATTATTATCATCATCATCACCATCATGTTCATCATCATCATCATCATCATCATCATCATCATCATCAATAATAATAATAATAGTAATAATAATAATAATACTAATAAATAATAATAAATAATAATAATAATAAATAATAATAATAATATTAATAATTATTATTATTATTATTATTATATAAATAATAATGATTATTATATAAAACATAATAATAATCAACATTTTACAACGTCATTGGCCATCGTCGGAATTGACATCATAATACAATTACCCGGTCAACTCTATCAATTCCCTGGGGAACTAATACAATTTGTCCGCGTCTGTCAAGTGCAAGATGTGGCGTTGTAAACGCATCTACAATTGTACTGCATACACGTGTACCAGGCGTTGCTCTTCGTCTTCTCATTGACACACTTGAAGAATTATCACTGAAATATAAAACGTGCAATTTACACAAAAAATATAGTTAATATAGTATTTTAGTAGTAGGTTTCTTAAAATAAAGAATTGCTGCTTGGTTAGTTGGGGGTAGGGCTAAAAACTAGCAGAATTTTATGTGATTTGAGTCAACATTTACCATAGACCCACCTTGATAAATGACGCTCTCAGAATTTCTCTTTAAATTGAAGGTTAACTATCCGTTATTTAAAATGTTACGATGTAGACCAATGCCGTAGCCAGCTATTGAGACAGTTGGGACAGTCCCACACAATTTTTCTAATGGGTCCACCCTGATATTGTCCCGCACTGTTTGAAAATCTTGGCTACGGCATTGATGTAGACAACCAAGACCATTTTTCCCCTAGAAGCCGGTAATGGCCCTGACAGACTTCTTTTGTTAAAGAAAATCGTTTGAAAATCGAATGATATTGTTTAATTATGATATGGGTGGATGATATAATATTTTCATAAGCCTTAATATAAGTTTATATTTAGGCCCACTTTATAGTGAGTGATTATTCCGGCGGAACTTTTTTCAAAGTGGGGAGGCCCACTAGTATGAATGGGAATATGTACCGTATGGGTTCAATTTTGGAGGGCGGGAGGGGCCCACAATTTTTCACAAGAACCCCAAAAAAGGAAGGGACCCGGGGGTCCTCCACCGAGAAAATTTTGATTCCTAGATGGCGGGAAATAAGCTTTCCCGACTTTTAGCTAGGTGTCTCTTAATGACAAAATTCAAGGTTTCCTACCTCTTAAAAACGGTTGGGCAAACTTTCTCATTCTTATTACAGTAAATAGGCCTGTTATGTGTGTATACATACATAAAACAAATGAGTAGGTGCATACGTGTTCTTTTTCCCATGGATCGAAAAACTCCAAAGAGAAAGGGGATTTGGGGATTCTCCACCGGGAAATTTTGATTCCTAGATGGCGGGAAATGAGCTTTCCCGACTTTAATTTTGTATTCAGGGTCTTTATTATTTATTCAAATTAAAATATAAATTTAAAATTGCAAACAGACAGCCAATAAAAGACAGTATATAGGCGTAAGTGTATTACAATAATCGCTTAAAAATTTAAAAACAGAACATCAAAATTCAAGAAATTCACAACACAAACATAAAAAAGAAACAATAGATAAAAGCACAACACCAGACAAATAAAAAAAAATTAAAATGAAAAAAATGGAAGAAATCAAAAAGGCATATAAAAAACACATATTTAATTTAATTTTCTAATTGTAAAAAAAAAAAAAAAAAAAAAAAAAAAAAAAATCAGCTCACGGGTCCTGAAAAGGTGGATCTAGAATTTTTTTTTCTTTTTATTTTATGCCCAAGGGAGGGGGACAAGTCCCCTGATTCTCCCAGATGCGCCAATGTGAATTGCGAGAAAATCTAACTAGGTTAGGGACTGGATAAACACACTCTTTCCCCTTCCTCTCCCCCTCCTTCCCTCTTTCGTTTCTTGCATTTATTTCCCATCACACATATAATTCTCTATAGATATTATATATTTTCTGCCAAAAATTGGTGAGAAGGGCCGCCCACCCCCTCCCGGTTCCACCGCCCATGCAAAGAGTATTTACTCTTTGCTATTTCACAGTTACAGAAATACATGAATGCTATTTTTTGGTTTAATGAGGACTAAGCCTGATTACCCCCGCCCCCACACACACACACCCACCTCTGTAATTCCACCCCTTGCACGTTTACAATCATGGTAACGGCTCTTTGGTAATAATGTACCGTCTCAAACTTGGGAACGTTTCCGGTTTGTATTATCTTTAGTGGTTATTGATTTACAACGTCAATGATGACCACACATGGCTGCAGTGGGGTCCTATGGCTCAGCCTGAATTGTGTGCTTAGTAATATTAGGAACAACGATTACCATTATCTGTGTGTTTAGACCTATTATGCTATTTTATTTTATTAAGTGTGTAAGAAGCATACAGATGTCAGTATAATAATATCAACAAAATATAAATAGCAACCACCGAGCCATCTATAATACTCACAAACACTCAGTCTGCTCGGGAGGGGACGCTTCAAATCTAGTAGCATAGCGCATGGTAAGATATTCCATTTGTTCTTCCGTATATGTTATAGGCGATTCTGTCGTGTTGTATATTCGTTCAATTCTTTGATCACATGGTAGCTTTTCCAGCTCGTCAGCAAGAGTCCGTAGAGTCTTAAGCTGGTCGGGGTTTAATTCAGGACGCGGGTAGCATTGCCGCACCATGGCCCGGCAGCACTGTTCCTGCTCGCTGCGACACATCGGTGCCATAATCACAAAGGTGATCGCAATTATAATCTTCATTGTAGGTTTTGACTGATAATTTAGAGCTCTCCACCAAGACGAATTTTGTCAGGTTAACACTGGTGAACACAAGAATGGATTTGATTCCCAGTATTGATCGATAAAATATATTTCACATTATGTTTTGCTATATAAAAATCTGACTCAAAGTTAAATAACAAAACAAATATTAATACTCAAAGCAAAAAAAAAGACAAAAACAAAAACAAAAAAATGCACGATGACCACTTTTATAGTAAGGAAATTTGCTAAAAATATAAGCATAGCATAAGTAAAGGAAACATCTATGAACGCAGAGACAGACATTTTATTAAATTATTTCTGACGTTGTTTTAATAATTATCTTTTATCATCTCACCAACATTGAGTTTAATTCGTAGTGAGACCTGACATTATTACATTGCCCCATTATAGATATGTTAGTTACTTTAAATAGTTACAGAAGACTATTTGAAAATGCATTATAGTATATAAAAAATCATGATTTAGCTTTTTCAAAATAGTATATTTCAACAGATGATTGAACAACAGACCTAAATAGAAATTAATCTAGAAGTCTTTTAGTCTTTGGAACACCATTCATACTCAGTATTTTCCTTAGATTCCGACCTTCTTGATTCTTTATACTAGCAACAGTAATTATCTATATTAATAATATAAAAATAATATATTAACACCAAACCGTTTCAAACCTGCTGTAGGCAAATTTGACCCCCTGAACGTCCTTAAAGCAACCTGAGTAAATACATTCTCTCTAATGAAATAATAATAACTCCACCTTCCTCTGTCCTGAATTAATAATTTCCACACCCTAGCTGTTTATATAAACAACAAAATATGTAAGCCTATCATAGGCTTATCATGTTTGAGAAACAAATGTAAATGTTAGGAACACACCGTTTAAAATATGTTTACTCGAATAAATAATTTTCTTTAAACCCAAAAAATGTAATACAAACATTGTCGAATGAGTATTGTTACTTACAATTGAGGTTTCGAAAAATTGTAGTCCCACGACCACTGATCAAGTGGTTTAGTGTTGTGTTGCATCGTGATTTTATTGATGTCTGCGCCACCAATATTTAGGATAGCCAAGTACTGACAAAGAGAAAGATCACTGCAAAAGTCAGGGAAAAAACCCTTTTTTAATAACAATTTTTATAATCTCCCAAACTTAAGTACATTAATATGGAAGACATTATCTAAGGCTGTGACATTGTCATCATTACATGCCATAAAATAATACTCATATATTATTATGAACCAGCATGTTGGGCTCCAAAAAAGCACAGATACAGTATAATAATCCTGGGCAAGATCCGCCTCCTAATCCTGAAAATACCTATTGCTCAAATTTGAATTTGTGGAATGCGAATATCAATTAAATGACCTACTTCGTAAATGGTGCATAAAGTTTTCCTGTTTACATAATTCTATAAGCATAGTTTTTAAAGCTTATGGGTGCAACTATACCTAATTCTGTTTAATACAATTACATCACCGTATATTAGCCGTCTCATCTTTTTAAAATGTCGGTTAGCGTGCACTTATGCACTTATTACACAATGAAGCTAATGATTGTAATATTGAGCTACCTACAGTTTGCTCTAGTTGGGGTTTATGGATTGTCATAAATTCTCAATTAAATGACCTGGCCTACATTAAATAAACCTTATTACTGTAAGCATTATGTTTCTGAGTTCTATATCGTGAACGTGAAACACGTGCGCACTTGGATAAAATCCTAGTAAAAAGGATTAGTTTCTCCCCTGACATTATGCACAATGGCGAGAACCGAAGGCCTACTGATGTTAGCACAATTAAACGGACCTTGGCATATTCTATATTGGCAGACAGTCTCAAAGACGTATTGGTTCATGGCGAACCGCACACCCTTGATCAGAGGAATATAACGCAACATCTTAAAATCTTTTCTTACGCCCACCCCTTCTTTTGTTTGCGTTTGTGTTACATGATATGGAAGAGTATTAACACCTAACTTCAAAATTGTTTTTGATCTGCTTTTTTGTTTTTAACTCTTTTTTTTTTCAAGTTTTCCTAAGCTTTTGCAGAGTGTTTTCTACCCTCCACTTTGGCGATTTTTCGTGTTTGGATCGTTTTCACACTTAGTCGAATAAATAATTGGTAATTTAATTACGGTTTCTAACGCGTTTAAAAAACTAGGTTCCAAGCACAAACCATTTCCGCCCTCAACCTTTAAAATGTACACTAGGTACATAGACTGAAAATTCACTAATCTTGATAGTGTGTGGTTCTAGCGCAAAACCCTCCATATCTCTGTCATCAGTACGTTCATTGCAGCCCCAGTTCGAGTCTTTCTATGGTCGAGTGGTTTCTTTTTCTTATGGGCCAACTTCATAAATGAAGGCTTTTGCTTAGTAGCCCTTTTTTTTTCAAGAGTACCACATCAGTTTGTGCAGTATTTACAATTATTATTTTTAACGTTTTTTATTTATTTTAAAATTTAAACTACCCTAGGCTGACACTCTCCGTACAGTAGCAATTTAAGGTGCGGAGACAGGCTCAGTCTCAGGCACTCTAGTGGTAGCAGCATCTAATCTTTTAGGAGTTTCTTAGTGATAAGTTCCTTGAAGTGAGAGACAGATGAAGCTTTTAACTATTTCCTCAGGCAACGTGTTCCAGTCGCCTGCAGTCTTAGAATAAAATGATTTGTTGGAGTAATCTTGTGTTGAAGAAAGAATATGGTAGGCTTGCCTATTTCTCTTCTTTTTTTTTTTTTTCTTTTTTTTTTTTGTATTTCCTTTGGAAGTAAGAGGCACCTGAGAGAAGGCATGTCTATGGCGAATAGGCCTTTACGAATCTTGTAGAACAATGTGGGACGAACAGTTCTTCTGTGTTCAAGATTTTCCAACTCCAGCCTTTTTAACATTTTTCCTGCACTTGCTTTCTGCTCTTAATTGTTAACAATAGATCTAGTTGCTCTTCTTTGCACCTTCGCAATCTGCCTGGAGAGCTGGCTTGAGTGTGGGTCCCATACTGATTGAGCATACTCTAAAGTGGTTTCATGTACCATTTTAATTATCAGTTCTCATTATGTCAATAAAGGAAAGTCCTATGTTCTGTTTTACACGGTGGGGACGCCAGTAATAATAGCAGAAAATAACAATAACAGACATCTATTCTAGTTATAATTAATCTTTGATATGATTGGCATTTTCATTACCAATTTTGGAAGTGTTGAAGAATACGAAAGTTATTAATATTGACTAACTTTCGAGGGTTAGCATTTGCCATTTACTGTACATTAAAAAATTATTAATTTAAAAAAAACGCTAAGTAAAATCAATCAATCTTTTTATAGCAGGTTTATTTTTTTAAATCGTTCATTTTGTCAATAAAACGAGATTCAATTTCAATTTCTTTTTTTTTTTTTTTTTTTTTTTTTGTATTTTAAACTTAGCCTATAGATAGGTATATTTAAACGGCAGTGGCGTAGGGATGGACAGTGCAACCAGTCACAGATAAATATTCCTCTTAAATTCTAAATCAGAATCAGCAATGTAATACAGGCCTAAAACTCGGTCAACTAGTTGACAAAAAATGGTTTCAGTTATAAAGTGATTTCCCAGTTCAGTACCAATGATAAACACATGGCTGCAGTTTGGTCTGATGGCTCAACTTTCATTCTGTGTTTAGGTATAAGGCACAATTAATTACTATGCTGTTTTATTAGATGTGTAAGACTCACAAATACTCAGTTTCCTGGGAGGAGACGCTTCAAATCTAGTAACGTAAGATATTCCATTTGTTCTTTTGTATATGTTAAGGCAAATCTCGAGTGCTGTATACTCATGCAGTCTTCTGATAACGGGGTAAATAACTGTTCGTGACTGGAACTGGTCGGGGTTTAATTCAAAACGCGTATACCATTGGTGTACCGTGTTCCGGCAGCAGGTTTCCTACTGGATGCGAAATGTAGTGCCATTTTAGGGAACAGTGAAATTTCACTGTTCCCTGGCCATATAAAGCACGAAAGTAATCGCAGTTAGCAACTTCATTGTAGGCTTCGGCGAGTAATGTCAAGCTCTCCGCCAAGACGAATCTGCCTATAGGTTAACACAAATCTGTCAAGTATTAGCAAGAAAATGGTTTCTAAGCAATGTCCTGGTCAACACAAGAATGGTTTTGATCCCCTATAATAAACTTTTGTTGACCGATATAAATTTGTTAAAAATCTGGCTTAAAGTTTGACAATAAACAAGTAACAGATAGGAAACAAACAAATCTGCACGAAACCCAGTTTTATAGCCTGAAAATTGACTCAAATGCAAACTATCATAACAAAGTATATCAAATTATCTGAAACCGCTGAGACTAAAATTTTTTAATTTTTGTGTTTTAGTGACTATTACAATATTATTTATTTCATGGTTAGACATTATTACCTAACCCATTTATAGATATATTTACTGTTGAATAGTTTCGAAAGACTAATTGAAAAAATGCATTACAGTAAAATTACTTGCATTCATGTATGAGGCGCCAAATGTACTTTCATTACTTAACAAAATTATACACATATAATTCATTATTTAATATATAATTTAACATTGTTCATTATGTACATATAATTAGTTTTGCTTCTAACAGTTATATATAAATAATTGGTGGAGCGATTTTCATTATTTATAAATAATTTAAACTAGCAAAACATTATTTATATATAATTTGAACTAGCCAAACAATAAATAATTGGAGTGCTAATAGTCATTATATATAAATAATGATTTTACTCAAAGTCCTTATTTATAAATAATTATTTTAACATCATATTATTTATAATTAAGGAAAATCGCTCCACTAATTATTTATATATAATTGTTAGAAGAAAACTAATTATATGTATAAAATGCATGTACATCATTTTATATAAATAATGGTTTCACATACAATTATTTAATGTCAAATTCATTATATATAGTGTATATATAACTGATGAAAAACCATTATATATAATGGATTTTACAACCATATTATATATATATATATATATATATATTGTGACACAAATTGATCACAATATATATATATATATATATATATATATTTGTTTCACAACCACTGTGTGTGTATAATGTGATAATACATTTATAAAATTATATACATATAAGTACATCTGGCGCCTTAAGGCGCCAAATGTACTTTCATTATTTAACAAAATTATATACATATAAGTACATTTGGCGCCTCAAGGCGCCAAATTTACTTATATACATATATTTCATTATTTAACATATAATTCAATATTTGTTCATTATATACATATAATAAATTTTGCCTCCAACAATTATATATAAATTATTGCTGGAACGATTTTCATTATTCATAAATAATTTAAAGTAGCAAAACATTATTTATAAATAATTGAAGTGCCGAAGGTCATTATATATAAATAATGATTTTACTCACAGTCATTACTTATAAATAATTGTTTTAATATCGTATTACTTATAAATAACAACAATCGCTTCACCAATTATTTATATATCATTGTTGGAAGCAAACTAATTATGTAGGCCCTATATAACGAAAAAATGTTGAATTATAAATTAAGTAATGAATTATATGTATATAATTTTGTTAAATAATGAAAGTACATTTGGCGCCTCATATTCATGATTGAGCTCTGTAAAATAGCATCAATTCTGATGAGATACTTCAACAGTTGATGGAGTCTTGAATAAAAAGCTTATTCGGCTATTCATTCATTACTTAGTATTGTTATGTTCACTACAGTAATTATAGAAAAAAATTCAAAGGCCTATCCTTTACCTGCTGTAAACAAAGTGAACTGTCTGAAATTGCTCAGAGCAGTAATTGTTGTTACTTGTTACTTACAAATCGTTACTTACAATTGAAGTTTCGAAAACTTTCAGTCCCACGATTACTAAGCAAGTGTTGTGTTGCATCGATATTGTTGAAGGTCCGGACATAAGTTGCAGGAATATGCACATTCAGTGAATATAAGAACAAATGTCTATTGTAATATTTCCGATCATTTTAATAACAAATGTTCCATTAGAGGAAATAAAAACATGCATATTCCGTACAATCTGGTAAAGAAAGCAACTGTCTGTGACCAACCATTTCCAAGATATGGTAACACTATAATTTCATTTCTAATTTACATATTTTAGAGCTAATCTGCATAGGAACAGTAGGCCTACATGTGACCATGGTGTGAATATATATTTTCATCCCTTCTAATAATATAGTGAAAAGAATCATATATTTGAATACTTTGAGACCTAATTCAAGATTCTACATACTGTACATTAGTCCCAGAGATATGCAAATTAAGTAAATAATTGTAGCATTTCCGTTCTTTAAACGTGAATTATTTTGAATAATTTGAAAGCAACTCTGTAGGACCAGCGGTTGCCAAATTATGATAACTCTATATTTTCAAAGTAAATTAAAAATAACTAGATTATAGTGGATTTTTTGTTTTTTTCTTTTAAAATGTAAACTAATAACTAAATATACAATAAATTAGGAAGCCAATTATACTCTATGATCTATTATAATTTAAATTAGGCTTATATCATAGTGATGTAAAGGTAAACATATAGGCAAGAAAGGGTAAGATAGGAGATGTAAGCCTAACAGCCCCTATCCACACTATCCAGTACATAATGATTTACCTATAAAAGGTCACCATCCCTTATTACAGATAACAGTAAATGAAAGACAAACAACACTTTTCACACCAACAAATTGATTTTTCCACAAGCTTTCGACCACGCAGTGGTCGTCATCAGGTGAATGTGCAAATAGGATTCTTGTAGAAAAATAAATTTGTTAGTCTGAAAAGTGCTGTTTGCCATTCATTTACTGTTATCATGTAGACCACAGGTAGGCAAAGTGCGGCCCGACTGCCAATTTTTTTTTTTTTTTTTTTTTTTTTTTTTTTTGCGGCCCGCGGAAATGAGTTAAAATCCTTATGTGTTGCGGCCCGGCACGCAACATTGGCTAGAAAACACTTTATTTGTTAAGGTCCGCCACCGATTATATGTAAAAAGTAACATTACAACTGAGAATAAAGTACTGTAAAAGCAGTGTTTGAAGGTTTTTCAAAGCACAATGGAAACATCAAAGTTTTGGTGCGGCCCTCGGTGTTAAATCAATAATTCACTTTGGCCCTGCGACCGATTTTATGCCCATCCCTGATTTATACTAACACGCCTACCCTATCTACTTCTTATTATAGATAATAATGACATCATCGAATAGAGCTTATTTCAGGTAAATACAGTGTGGGCAGACAGACAACATCAAATTGACTCCTATGGCACGTACGCATGACACGTGCGTGCTTGGATAGGTTCTTCTATAAAAAAATTATTTTCCCCATTGATATAATGCACAACAGCGGTAGTTGATGGAGTTAGCACAGTGGTACAGTTGCATTGCAGTCCACCTTCACATTGGTCCCTTCCGCAGATGGTCTCGTACACATATTGATTATTGGCGAAACGCACACCGTCCGCCTAAAATGAAATAAATTATATAAAAGAAAAGTCTACTCAAAATATGTCCCCAAGCTCTAGAACCTCTCTTAGTGATTGAACTAGTACTCTTCGAATAATTTAGTATTGTATACAGTTTTAAAGAAACAAAATCAGCTAAGATTTTACCCCGGTTATATCCATTCCTTGAACGACTAATACAATCTCTCCCCGTCTGTTAAGTGCAAGGTGGGGAGTTGTAAATCCGTCTAGGATCGTCTCGCATACACCTGTGCCAGGTCTATTGGCCCTCCGTCTTCTTTTCTTGTGGGGATACGAAGATCGGCTCCTGAAATTAAGAAATGTTAAGTGTACTCTTAATTTCATGATTCTTTGCAAGTGATATAGAAGACAACTTAAGAAAATTATGATTATCCCCCATCATAGATAAAATAAGGCTGGATGCATAATTTCAACTAGTTACCCAGAATTGTAAACAAATCTGACTCCTGAGACTTATTCTTGAGATTATTTGGAGCCAGGTATGACTCACTTACTGAAGAAAGTTCAACGGTCTTTATTATTTTGTTTGCTTCTTTTAGGGAAAGAGTAGAAGCAGCGGCGCAACGGGGTTCGAACCCTCGCTGTGCAAGTTGCTTGTGTCCTTAAGCAAGACACTTTATCTATGTTTGTCTCTCTCTCTCCACCCAGGTGTATAAATGAGTACCGGCATATGCTGGGAAGGTAAAACAGATTGCAGTGCGGGAGAAGTGGCGAACCCCCACAGCCTTACATAGTCTGGCCCAAACGCTAAAGTAAGAGAGACGGGTACTCCGGCCTGCGTCGGGTTTCGAGGTTTCGAACCTTTTTTTTTTTTTACTTCTTTTAGGTATAATATTATTATCATTATTATCAATATTACTATTATTAAAATATAATAGCTTAGTTTAGTTTAGTAATTCAGAGTTTCACATAATAGGCCTACATTTAAAAAAACACTGAAAAAATTGAATATAACATAACAGTGGGCCTGTATACGATGTAGGCCTATTATGTGTGGTGACTCCATTAAGCCAAGATAGGCTTTAAGACTGAGCCACCAGAAAACAATCAATAAATAAAAAGCAGCATGACTAAATAAGAAAACCTTAAGATCTAAACAGAAAAATATCTATATACAAAGATAATGAACAAGAAATAAAACAAAATTAACTTCATAACAACGAAAGTGTCGAGAAAAACCTTAAAACGGTCAATGAATCAACCGTATGATTAATTTAGAGCAATTAATTCAAAGGAGCAAATTTGAATTTTAGTGGTAGTTTGACTTATAAAGTGTATTGGTTTAGTAAGAATGTCTTATATGTGTTTTTAAGATTAAGTATTGTTGTTGATAAATTAATATCTAAGGGTAAATTATTCCATAAATTTGGTCCATTAAAAATAAAAAAAGATTTTCCTGAGTGCTGTTGAATATTTTTCATAGATAAAATGTTTCTGAGTAGATGATCTAGTTTCATAAGAATGAAGTTCACTAAAATTTGTAAACAACGAGTTAAATTGAGGAGGAAGGTGGTTGTTGGAAAAACGAAGTATGAATAAGATAGTTTGTAGTTTATTAATATCAAATATATTTAATGTTTTTAGAGAATAAAATAATTATCTTGTATGGGACCTTGGATGCGCCCCAGTGCATATCCTAAGTGCCTTCTTTTAAAGCTTAAAATTACAGTGGATTTTTTATGTTTCTAAACTATACCATGGGTTAAATTGTTTAAACTTAGAAATTGTTGTGGCCCATGCAATATTGCAATAATATAAGTACGGAAGGATAATGGTATTGTAAAGTGATAACAAAATGTTGTATGGACGAATATGCTGTAATCGTCTTAACATTCCAACATTTTTCGAAATTATTTTGTTTATAGCTGCAATATGCATTTGCCAGTTTAATGTAGAATCGATTAAAACCCCAAGATATTTTAGGTTATTGGTTCTATTTATTGAGTGCCCATCAATAATAATATCGGATGGTAAAGTATTGTTGGACTTATTATTATGTGTGAAGTAAATAAAATTAATTTTGAATGAATTTAGTGATAATTTGTTTGCTTTAAACCACAATGAAACTTTATTGAGTTCAAGATTAATACTATTTAAAAGAGTACATTTGTTTTCATGGGAAAAGAAAATGTTGCTGTCATCTGTAAATAAAATAAAATGCAGTAAGTTTGAAACATATGGAAGATCATTGATATAAATAAGAAAAAATAAGGGGCCCAAAATTGACCCTTGTTTTACACCACAACTTAGAGGCAAGATATGAGATTTAGAAGAGTTAAAGTTAGTAAATAGGTTATGTTTGCAAGATAGTCAATCTTTTATAAGATTGAGAGGAAGGCCCCTGAAACCACAGTGGGATAATTTAAATAATAATATGTTATGATCAATGGTGTCAAATTCCTTCGATAAATCAAGAAAAATACCTATAATATGATGCCCTTTAACAAGAGAATTAGTTACCTTTACATACATATGTAAAACTGCAATATCGGTAGAATGTTTGAGCGAAAGCCATATTGATTGTCGTGTAATATAATATTTTTAATAAAAAAGAAGACAAACGATCGTAAATTAGTTTTTCTATATTTTTTGCGAAAGTAGGAAGCAATGCAATGGATCTATAATTATTAATCATATATGGGTCACCTTTTTTGAAAATTGGTACTACTTTTGCTAACTTCAGAGCATGAGGAAAGTCTCCAGATACGGTATTAAAAATATGAGTCAAAGGCTTGGATATAAAGGGAGTAATATTTTTTATGACATCAGAGTGAATATCATACAGGTCCCGGATTTTTATTGTTTTTAAAACTAGCTATAATATCAATTATCTCCTTTTTATTAACTGGCATGAAAAACATTGCTTCATATAAAAATTTTGTTATTATCATTGCCCATTGTTTTTGTCACTGTAACACAATACTGTGCATTTTGTATCCCTACTTACCCAACATCAGGTATTGGTTCCGGTATTGGCTCATCAGGACACTCTGGAACGACGGTCGTTGTCCTACAGTCCGTCTCCTCTGTTGGAACCGCCTCAAATCTACTAGGATAGCGCCCGACTAGATAATCAATTTGTTCTGCAGTATATGTTATAGGCGATTCTACAGTGTTATATATTCGTTCAATCATTTCTTCGCATGGTAACTGCTCCAGCTCTTCAACAACATCACGTAGAATCTCAATCTGGTCGGTGTTTAATTCAGGACGCGGGTAGCATTCGTGCACTGTGTCCCTACAGCACGAACTTTGTTCTTTGCTATGACATACCAATGTCATAAGGACGAGGGTGAACACATTGAGTGACTTCATTTTTATGACTTATTGGGCGAGTACTATAAGGCTTCCTCTCCACCTAAAAGACTGATTACTACTAGACGTAGAAGGTATTCAACACACAGAAAGAAAAATTTGTTTCTAGGCAATAAGCTACTCAACTTCAAGAATTGATCCACCAATTGTCCTTAGCGACCTTTGCATTTTTAACAAAATTAGTAGATTACTGTAATAGTTTGCAAATAATAGTTAATCAGACGTTTACAACAGAGGCAATCTTTTTTCTTTAATAATAATAATAAGCGTGCGCTTAATCAGTACTCTTCATAATACAGTAATAATAATGAATATTAAGCCTGAATCATCAAACAACACACGTTACTGGTGGCTGGAGATAATACTAGAAACAAAACCTGAAATCTAGTCCAATTAATCCAGTCCGATCTTGTGGTTAGAAAGGCGAATAATGTCCATGCGCTAAAAATCAGGGAGTACTTGGAAGGAAAGTAGAAAACATAGACAAAAAATTACATTGTATTGTATATTGTATTCTATGTATACTGTCTCTTATACACATCTAGATGTGTATAAGAGACAGCCCCACAGTTTATCTTTATGTAATACTGTAAATTAATAATTTAAAATAGTTACAAATAGTCTCTTATACATGACTTGGCCTTGCCTGTTGTAAAAATTGTCACTCGAACACTAGATGGAAATCACAGTGAAAGAGAGATGGCACTAAAATTAGTGCAACAACATTCAAATTGTTTTGGAATATCCATGTCGATCGAAAATTATTTCAATTTCGAGAAGATCGTGGGGGCATATAATAACATTGTACATTAAACATGAAATTAGCTGTTGAGTTATGCTTTCGCCACAACAGTTTTTGTAATAAAAATTTTGTTTACAGTAAAATAATTCTTGAACGTTTTTGCAGTCTTTTTAAAAATATTTTCTCGGATGTGTTTCCAAAACCCGAAATTGCATAACCGATACATGGTTCGATTGTGCTTATGTAATTAGCAGAGATGGTGCAATGTTTCGGACTTTCCTATGTTATGAATGTATATGTATATGTATATGTATAATATGTCATATATGATAATTCCGTGTTAAGTTTTTATACTCTATCGCTAAACCCAAATATCTTATATGTTTTATTTGTACGATACGTTTTCCGTCGACATGAAATATTCAGGACATCAGATGAAAGTATATTCTGGTTTCGATATAGCATGACCTCTGCTTTAACTGCATATATTTTCAACTTATTTCCGACATATCATTTACCAATATTTTCTAAAATTTTTGTAATTTTGTATTTAATCCATTAACTTGTGTTCCTACAACATAAATAGCAACATTCTCCAAGGGAGCTTGAGTTTGTGTTTCACAGGCGTTTAATCCAATGATCGGGTTAGTAATGTGAAGCGCTTGAGGCCCAATGTTTAGCGTTAAGGGCTAAATAATCTAACATATTATTATAGCAACATAATCCGCAAATATACTGCATGTCCCAGGAAAAATCAATTTTAAATATTATTTAGGAATAACAAATTGAACCAAAGACATTACCCTGTGGTATGCTGCCCTGATTCGGAAATAGGCATTAACTACATTTGTTTTAATTGAGATGTTTGTCTTACATGACTCCTGATGGTATAATCTATCACCTTTTTACTAGAAAGCTAAAAATATTACTCTAAATATGATATTTAATTTTTTTAATGGGCATTATCTAAACACACCACTACAAATAATTTGGAATAAGGCATTAACTACACTAAAGGCCACAATACAGCATTAAACGGTTGACTTCACACACAGACAGGAAGTAATTATCCAATCAGGTACCAGTGTGATGAATATTAATTAGATCTCCTCTTAGATAATGCCTAGTTTGTTCCAGCTTTATTCTGAGGATTAATTCGAAAGAAGCCATTATCTACATTGTTTTTCTTATAACCTTTACAAAACGTCATATCATTCTGATGATTTCTTTTACTTTGACACAAGTTACAGCTTATTTAGGAGCTTTTTGGCGTGTAATTATTATAAATATTAATTTTAATGCGAAATTCTGTGCATCGTTTTTACATGTAATATTTTTTTATAAATATTTTTATTTGTTTTATTCAATGTGCATTACTAAATATTTTTTTCTGCTAAATTAATGAAAAATTAATATTTACAATCCATAAGCAATATAAATATTACTTTGTAAGTTTAAGTAAATTTTATTTTGCCATCTTGATTATTGACCGAGTTCCTAGTCCACATATCCAAACGCTTTGTATCCATTGGCAAAAAGCGCTATATTAATGTCTATCGTTCAATGATGATGAAACATATAATACCTAATTTGATACCGTACAAAATATTATAATGTATTCTTTGTTTTTAAGTTTACATATTTGAAATAATTAATTTGAATAGTTCTATAAAAGGGTTGCTCTAAATATGTTTTTAGTGTCTGTAAAATTCATGAGAATTTAAGAATCATTTTAGTAGCATTATTATCCAGTGACCATAATGATGATGATAGTGATTATGAAGATAATTGAAACAGCTTGGTGTGGCATTATATTAGAAACATAACGGTAAAACATGTCATAAAATATAGATAACTTTTCAATTTACCTCAAAATTTACCTTACATATACAACCCGAAATCCACTTTCAACACCGCCCCCAAATCCCCTCCACCGGCCGGAAGCTAACCCACCTAAGCTCCACCAAGCTTCAAACATATAGAACCCATTCCATCTATTTCATTCTTTATTGGTTTACTTTGTATAGGCCTACCTTACTTACAAAACATTTGTCAAACATTTCGATAAAGAAATTATAATTTTCAATGCGAGTATACATTTTCACAATACTTATTTTATTTTTACATCAAATTTAGAATATATATATATTTTTTAATGTTTTTTAGTTTATAATTACGGCCACATACATTTAGAGTATTCATGCACAAATTTAAAATTCATCGATACTTTTAAACATTATTGCAGGATCCAGGATTTGAAAGAGGGGGTTCATGTTCCCATAAACCCAAAAATGAAAGGGGGTCCGGTGCTCCTTCCCGGGAAAATTTTGATTCCTAGATGGCCGGAAATCAACATTATTGAGTAGTTGGATACGTAGTCTTTCTTCCATAGATCGATGAACTGATAGGCCTGAAGGACACACTTTCGTATATAAATTATTACGACGTCGAGCCAAAACTGTTTTAAATTTATTTAATTGAATGCTAGTTGTTCTAAGCATATTTTGTCCGATCTGCCGAGCTATGCCTAGGTAGGTTACATAGGTACCAACCTGAAATAATTGAAATACGTGATTGGAAACGCGGGCCGGCGGCCAGCAGAGCCTCCGCCGGGGTCCAGGGTCGGGCCCCGATGGGGGTTCTGGGGGAGGGGACGATACCCCCTGGGCGTTATGACAATCTGAGCATTGTTAAGCTGTTTTTAGGGAGTGTTTATTGACAATATCAGGTACATAAACAAAAATATTTTTAATAAAGCCACGTGCAATTCGAATTTCAATCAGTGGTGGCGCCAGAGGGGCCTGGGGATATTCCCCCGTCGGGAAGCGTAGCCCCCCCCCCCCCACGTCGGGGAAGACGAGTAATTTTTGTCGGGGAATAAACAAATAAAAAAAAATTATGTAATGTTCGCTTAGCCACCATATTGCTTCATTAAACTATTTGTGTTAATAATAATAATAATAATAATAATAATAATAATAATAATAATAATAATAATAATAATAATAGTTCAATGAGACTAAATAAAAATAAATTGCGTTCTTTTATGACAAATGCTCGTTTGGATACCCTTATAATGCTTGGAATACATCGTGATAGGTGAAGCACCCTCGACCATGACAGCGTTGGTTAACAGACTTCATGCAAAATTTCCAAAATGTAGAATTTCACTTTCAAGAATAAGGATTTGAAAATAAATTAGATGGTTACATTGCATACTCTTTGTTTCTTGCTTTATTCAAAATGTTTTGGTTTTGGAAGCTGATATTAGAAAACATAGCCTACATGAAGTCATATTATAGTAACTCGATGCCTATCATTCAAATAAGTAAGACAAATTCGCCATAATTCGTCAAATATCCGTGGCTTCTAGGGGGATTCGCCTTTAGCCCCCGACGGGGCCTTTAGCCCCTCCGTCGGGCAGGTCTTGGCGCCATCACTGGTTTCACTGTATGTTTAACTTGAGCACCCGAACTATGTACACAAACATTCACAATACTCAAACAAACAAAAAATGAATAAGCTGCGGTGGTGAACCTTTCCTAACATTCGACACTCTTTCTACCCCTCCTGTTATACTCCTACACCCCTGATTCTTAATTAATTTGTTTAAGGGCCAACATTTATTTTGAGGCGGGCCAAAAGATAATATCTGAGTACCGGTAATTAAGCAAGTCGTTATGTGTTTGGTAATTTCAAGTTCTATTTTTTGTTACAATATACCGGTATGGTAACAAATTCTGTAACTTTAAGCAAAGAATACGTACACGATTATCAATATTCTGTTCACATCCTAGTTGGTTAAAACAATAAGAAATTGCATTCAGTGTATAATAAACGTTAGTAACATAAACATTAAAAATATATATAATACTCATACTTTATAAAACAAAAATTGACCTTATTTTCTGATAGATAGATAAATAAATTAAATAACATTAATTAAATGAAATATATTTAATGATATATGCGTATTTGCTACCATCAACCGTAACACATAATTTGAAATAAAAGTAGGCGTATTGTAGAAGAGAATCACTAGTGAGCATTGACCTCAAAAGTACTGTAGAAGTACAGAAATAATACTTCAGCTACTTGCCGGAGTGTTTTTTGTGAATGTAGATAAATATAGGTATATATAACGACTAGAGAATAGGTGTGATATCGAAATTCTAAAAGAGGAAACATGCAAGAAACATATCCTGTTTTCTTTCCGCTATTTCTTATGTAAAACCGGATCTAAACTTTCAAAACGTTTCTACAATGTGTATTTAGGCTTCATCAATACTGTATTGCGAATGCATCAATAGTCAATTAGTCAATTGATTGAATAACGCTTTTGTACCATCGGCACACCTTTTTAGTGTAACCTTACAACGACTAGACAATAATTAATTGATATAGAGAAAACACAAAATTAAAAATTAAAAAAATATGTTCTCTATCTTATAAAGTATAATGAAAATAACCTAATGGAAAAAATCAATAGAAAACTAGGAGGAACAATGCATCGAAAAATGGGGGGAAATAGCCTGGGGAATAAAATTAGCAGGTGGCAAGCAGTCACCGTAAAAGTGCTATATTCTGTAAAGTAAAGCCTCAAACCACCTCGATTTTGAGTCTAATAAATTTAAAAATCTTCCCAGACTTTTCCAGATATAGCTATTCTTTGGCGTTTTTTGATAGCAGATTATTTTTTTATAGATTTCAGTGGGTTAACCCGACACAAAGACAAGCTTGCGTACAAATCTAACATTTATGATGATGAAGATGATGATGATGAGGAGTAAGCTGTGCAAGATTAATTAACAGGCCCTTTTTGATGTGAAGTGTCAAGCGAGGCCCGTAGCCTAAGTTACGGTTGGGAATTTGGAGACATTATCGTCGTCGTCAAATGTTCAATGCACACATTCGGACAATAGATGATTTATGATATCTGTTTTGTATAGAAAGTAATCTGAAACCCATAAAATATCAGTTCAGGCATTCATTTATCTGTCTGTGGAAAATATATATATCCCGGTTTTAGTATCCCTGTTTTAGTATTGTAGGGGTTCAGAAGGCTTTACAGTATAACTAATCCCCGTATTTCTGAAAGATTGCTGATTAAAATGTAAAATATTTAAGATTTTATATTCATTACATTCTCAAATGTTATGTAAATCTCATATATCCCAAAATTACGTTATATTCATGCACCGAAGTAGAAAGTTTAACTTAATAATTTTGATATGTTTTATGTTGACTGGTTTTTAATGATATTATTACAGTCTAATATGACCACAACATAAAAAAGTCCTCTCCTTTAAACATCTAACCTACTAAACTTTGGGTATCTCAATATACATGTATATTTCCTTAAATCAAGGATGTCCACTCGTTAAATTAGTATATATAGTATAGAGAATTTTGTTTGTCAATCTCAGACATCCAAATTATAGGAAATTACGTTTTATGCCACCTATTAAGAACCATGGTCCCGGACGTTTGGAGTCCATAGGAGGTCGGCCTTACCCACACCATAACCAGAACCAGTTAACCAGACCAATCAATTTTAGTAACGTGTCAGTGAATTAAGTATTTACGTAAATACTAAACTTACCTGACTGCGTGCGTGCGATCATAGGATCGCGTCGGCAGTGAGTGCATGGATTTACATGAATTTCCAGAGTAAAATTTCTTAAAGGGGTGGCAGGCTGGAAAACGCTGGAAAACAAATTTCCAAGAGATATCGGGGCACGGAGTGAGGTAATTTTCAATCAGCAACGAGAAAAGGGGTCCGCTTGTATATCCAGTGCCACTCGAGGAAATGCAAGAGATTAAAATTACTAAGCGGACCGCCTGGCAACCATTGGGGTGGTGAACGTACGCCCATTATTTTTTTTTTCTAGAAACGTTTATTCAATCTGAAGTTGGGGTTAACACTATTATCATTCAAAATCTATGTTTTTCTTATATATACAGTAAACAGAACAAGCAGAAAAAAAAACAAGTACGACTTTAACGTCAAATACCACTAGAAATATCTGTACAGTAGCAGTACAATACAGTGAAGTAAGATTTTTTGTTAATATTGTTTATATTCTCAATGACTTTACGACCATATTACTATAATAACCTACGATCGAATTTTCCAAAACTTTATTTAACATTGTAAGCGTTTTTCTCAATTATACCGCTCTTACTCAGGCGTCTATGTAAGCGGTACAGGAATTCAAAAGTATCCAAGTTGTGTAAAACTTTGGATCTCCTCTCCTAATATAGGTGACTATACTTCTGCCCAAATCAGACAGTGCGGTCTTACATTTGCATGACGCTGATGACACGCATTCTGTGCCTGTGCACAGACCTTCCGCAAATTCTTGGTAGGAGTCGTATTTTACAAGCTGTAAAATGAAATATAATAAAATATTATGTTTACAATGACTACAGACTAAATTGGCTGGATATGATTTTGTAAACATCATTTTATACAATTAAAATTTGAATTTATTTTTATACCTATATATTAATAGTAATTTATAACAATGAGACTAAACAGTGGAGATCTCTAGGTCCCCGCTTCAATTCCCATCGCTGGTCTCCTTGCGTTTCAGCTGTTGGCTGAAATGCAAATTTCAATAACGCACCGCCTTTTATATGAGACGTTTAAACGATCACCGGGTCCCGTGTGCAATATGGCCCATTTTCACATTAAAAAACACAGTGCATTCTTCGGAAAAAATAGGAATTGTCACATGGTGTACTGCCCAATAACCACTGAAAGTGTTTACACCGAATAAATCCAATCCAATTTCCAATCCAACGTAGAATAAATTGGGATTCGAACTCGGGATCTTCTACTTATCCAACTGGGTACAGGGGATTTCGTTGGTACTTCAAATACGTTTTGAGGCAATTTTTTACACCCTATACGGTATGCCGAATACCTGTACAATACTAGTAGGTCTATTCGACGCTTCACGACCAGTGTGATACTCAGTTAATTCATTTTATATTAATTTCGTCATCAGTTAGGCAATCAATTTTCAATATCTTTCAAATAATATTATTAATTATAATAATGGTAGTAATAACATAAATATACGCAACGTACCTGTGGAACATATACCACATTGCCAAATCTGTCCAATGCTAGATTGTATCTTTTTACATCGAAGACAGAAGAACATACGTTTATTGTGGTTGAATTGATAAAACTGCAAAAACAAAAACATATATTGAATTTAGTAAAATTTGGCGAATAACCCATAATTGGTAGCTTCAATGTATTGAATTACATATGGGTGTGGTCTATGACTACGTAGAGAGGCGCTAATTATTAGATGAGTTGATTAGTCGAGTGGCTAAGACAGGGGCGTCGCAACCTCCAGCCACTTACTTTCAATGGGGTACTCAACAGGGAAACAGACAACAAAAAGGAACAAGAGAACAAAACAGTCGAGTACGGTAACAATCAAAGAAAAACAAATCAATTTACAATAAAAGCTATACACTTTGCAGTGCCCTATTCCTAAGATTTTTCCTAACTTTAATCTTAATGTTCGCTATGTCTGACATTTTTTTTTATTGTTTTAGGTACTTCGTTCTTTTTCTTTATTGCAGTATATATGAATGTATTGTGAGCAACTGCTTTAAATGTTGGCGCTCTCAAATGTATTTAAATCATTTCACCTATCCCTTTGACTACAAAACTGACAATGGTGTCACCGGACAGACTTTGATTGATCTCAATACCTAGATACTTACCGGATTTACACCCTTGATGGTGTGCCCTTAGTATTTAATCCTAAAATTGTCAACGTTATGTCTACGACTTTCAAATTTAAATGCGATCTGTCATATTGGGTGGAAGGAGACCTGGTTAAATCTACGAGCCATTTGTTGCACATTATTAGATTATTGCTTAATTTCGTTCAAGCAGTTTTAGGATCAGGGTGATTGTATATAATTGCTCTATCGTCTGCATAAAGGAGCATCTTTCAATCATCGTCAGTGGAAGAGGGCATATCATTAGTGTTGACGATAAAAAGAAGGGTACCAAGAAGACACCCTCTGGTAAACCGCACCTATTCTTTTGAAAGTCTAATGTAATACCATTTATATCAACAATTTGTTTACGGGTATAAATAATCTCTGAACCATTTTATTAATAAAATCCCAAGTAAGAGAGCTCATCGCATAACATATTACAATTTACAGAGTCAAAAGCCTTCTGTACGTCAAATAACACCATTCCAGTGAGCTTTATCTTTGACATTTGAATTCTAACATGATCAATTAAGTGTATAAAAACATGTATCAGAAGAAAAATATTTTTGGAACCCGATTTGTAATTTATAAACCAGGTAATTTTCATTCACATAACTAACTACTTGCTCGTGCACCGCTCGTTCTAAAATTTTAGAGAATTATCGATAGCTATCCATAACCCTCACCTCATTATTACGGTGATTGGTATGGTTTCGTCAGATTGGATTGTGTCAGGCGTAACCTGGCGTAGTGGACCTGCAATTTAGCAAACTTTTATCACGAGCCGAAATGTCATTTAATCGCAAATTGAGATATCTCAGTTTTGAATAGAGATATATTTTCATTCTTAATTTGAATAATTTAAGAGCTAATTTGCATATGAACAGTACATGCGACCATGGTGCGGTTATAGATTATCATCCCTTCTATTAATATAATGTTTCTTTAAACATGAATTTGAATAATTTGAGACCTAAATCAAGTATATATGTACATTAGTCACAGAGATATGCAAAGAAGATCAGTGGTCAATTTTAGATTTCCTATCTTTCTTGGGAAAATGTTCGATTAGAGCAAATAGTAGAAAAATGCATGTTCCGAGAAAAGTAATAGCAAATCCCTGCGACCAGCGGTGGCCAAGATATAAGGGAACCGTATATTTTCAACCTAATTTGCATATTTTAGCTAATACGCATGTTTCCGACGCATGGCCGAGGTGGGATTTGTGTAATTTTATCCCCTTATTATATCTAAAAAAAAAAAAAAAAAAAAAAAATCCTATGGTTTGCAATTTATTTACCTAGCCTAATTTAGATTACATCGGAGATCTGGGTTGCTGAGTTTACAATCTGCAATTAATTTGGGAATTTGGCACTCGGTAAATTAGGAATTGACTGATTAGTTCGATGCCAATAATAAAAATAATTTATAACTATCAATATACTATGATCATACAGAAGTACTGGTCTCTTATACACATCTAGATGTGTATAAGAGACAGATACGGTATGCCGAATACCTGTACAGTAAGATTAAAGGTAGTACTTTATATTTATGATGTAATCACATTTTGCTCAAATTTCATGTTATACTCTCTATTTGGCCCCTTTTCTCGAAACCTGGTGATGTGAGTTTACAGCCCTTTTGTGGTCTTGGGTCACATATATATACACATATTATATTATATATACATATATATATACATATACATATATATGTATATATATGTATATACAAGGCATAACATTTGCCGATTTTATCGTCTGCAACTATATTAGTACTAATTGATAACTAATTAGGGTTACTGGAATTTTCAAGATTTCTGTACCATCTTTTAAGAATCGAGGTGTTATTTTATTGGAACCCGTGCTTTTGAAAGAATTAAGGTTTTTTTCATTCATTAGGCCCTATAAATGAAATCCTTGTCGACTGAATTAAGTTTAATACTCGTTGCAAATCGTGTTTCAGATATAATGGCCAAAGCATGCTGAAATGTAAAAAATGTTGAAATCTATTTTATTGCACTAAACTAACTTCTATATATCTATAAATCAGGATATTCTCTTATTTCCTCCATTTTCAATGTCAAAACAACATTTTTTTTTACAGTTTGGTGATAGTTTCTGCCTGAGAAATGCCCGAAATCATGAACTTTGAAGGCTGATTTCTCAAATAATGTTTTTTAAATAGCTGCATGTTAAAGGCTTGTAACTTCATAAGGAAATGTCGGATTTAAATTATTCTTTTACCATTGCATAGCTCTAATATTTTAATATTTAATCCTATAAAAATTATATACTATATATAAAATTGATTTTTGCGACGAGTGACTCTATGGGCTTGTCACGAGTGACTGTTTGGGCTTGTCTTTGCCAATATACCGAAATAAATAAATTAAATAAATAAATAAACTAAGTTTGTACGGGATTGGATTAGATTTCAGTTATTATACAAAGAAATGATTGAAAGAATATACAACACTGTAGAATCGCCTATTATATATACTGCAGAACAAATTGAATATCTAGTCCGCGGTATCATATTTGAAGAGGACACGTAGGACTTTGTAGGACTACGACCGTTGTCCCAGTTAATCCTATAAAATTTATATACTATATATAAAATTGATTTTTGCGACGAGTGACTCTATGGGCTTGTCACGAGTGACTGTTTGGGCTTGTCTTTGCCAATATACCGAAATAAATAAATTAAATAAATTAATAAACTAAGTTTGTACGGGATTGGATTAGATTTCAGTTATTATACAAAGAAATGATTGAAAGAATATACAACACTGTAGAATCGCCTATTATATATACTGCAGAACAAATTGAATATCTAGTCCGCGGTATCATATTTGAAGAGGACACGTAGGACTTTGTAGGACTACGACCGTCGTCCCAGTGTACGCTGACTAGCCACTACCGGAATCAACACCTGATGAAGCAACGTATATAGATATAAACATGTGCTGTCTTTTAACTACCCTCCCATGGCAAAAGGGCATAACTGACAATTTGCTGTTTTGGAGATATTAAGCAAAACGTGTAGGCCTAATCTATTTAGCCCTAAAATGTGTTTTAGTATTTGATTTCATGGTTAATGTATTCAAATAGGCAAATAATGTCTCTTCCAGTGTAGCACACATTTTTTCTATAAATATTGATTTTTGCACTCAAAATGTCAGTTATGCCCTTTTGCCGTGGGTTTTCTGATTCAAGCATGTTGACAAACTTTGGCAAAAGGATATACGTACCCATTTTAGTTCCTTTCAACGCAATTTTGAGTCAGGTTATTAAAAAATAACATTCAATATATAATTTCATATGTTAGTCATGTATAAACTATAAAATAAATGTACAATAATACCAAAGAAACGCATTAAATAATAAATACTAAAATTACAAACGATTAAAAACCCATGTATAGGCTAACCAAGTATACAAACAAGAAAATGAATTAACATTAGTAAGCTGTTATGTATCAACAAAGCTTTTTTGGCTCAAGGTGCTAGATCGAGGACCCTGTGGGTAGGGGCCCTTATGGGCCCCTAGGGGTCTGGGGCCCCGCATAAGAGCGCATAGGTGTTACGTCACTGCGTGAAGGATGCATGCGTATATGAAATAGAACTGCTGTTTAGTTAGAATGCGCGTATGGACGTGTTTGTGTCAAGAATCATACTATTTAACCAATTTCTATTTACAAATTGTGAGTACACAAACAGTAAGAATAATAAAAAATATTACAACTTAACATGCAACCTTCATTATAACAAGGGAGAATGCTCTCTTCTGATTGGTTGGCTGTTGAAAGAACGTCACGCTTCACTATATCACAGTCTATCTTTGCAGTTACGCCCTTTTGCCTTGGGAATTTACTGAAAATTGTGTAGTTATGCCCTTTCGCCATGCCCCTATCTAGCCCGGGGGACACTTTTTTACAATTTTTTTTGTGTCAACATGTGTAACAAGATGTACTGACCCCACTAGGCTATATAACTCATTTTCGCCAAAAAATGTCAGTGCCCTTTTGCCATGGGGGGGGGGCAGTATAGTGATAACAATAACGAGCAATAATACTTTGAAGTACCGATAGCTATCCATAACTCTCACCTTATTACGGTGGTGATTGGTACCGTATGGTTTCGTCAGATCGGATTGTATATAGATAAGTCGACATGGCGTGGCGGACCTGCAATTTTGCAAACTTGTATGACAAGCCAAAATCAAATTATTATAATGCTTCAACTTAATTATATAAAAACTTCAACTTAATTTGCTTATTAAATTTAGCTTACTGGCATATGTTTCCCACGTTTGACCAGGGTGGGATTTATATAATTTCATCCCCTCATTATATATCTGCTTGTTTGAAAAAGAAAAACAGTTGTTTGCTTAGCCAAGATATCTCTTCGCAAATTTTAGAGTAAGTACATTCTGGCATTCGTCATATTGGGATTCGGGGTTGTTGAGTCTACGATCTGTTATTCGGCAAACTGAGCTTCAGGAAAGTGGCGTCGGCAACTTGGCATACGGTAAATTGGAATATGACAAACTAGTTTGATGCTATTGAGAATTATTTATAGCTACTAAAAGCTACAATTAATGCAACCGAGTGACAGTTTGTCATATATACCGGTATATCCGTGGGAGAAAGAATGTTGAATAACGATCTTTTTAGACTGATAAATAAATAGAAAAAGGATCTTGTTTTCTCTTTACATAATAGTCAGTTGATAGTTGCTTACACAAAGCCTGAATTTGTTGTGATTTCCGCTTCAATTCAACAGTAGATTTCCCCGAAAATCTCAACATTGTTACCCAAACCAGTTATGTAATTGCACCAACCATGGAGAAATACTATTATATTAATTTATGCATCACCGCACTTTCTTTATAACCCAGAAATACACAAACATTCGAATTAGTGTCAATATTAAAGACAATGACTATATTTAATATATATATATATATATATATATATCATGATATATATGATATATATTTATATATATATATGTATATATATACATGTATACATGTATATATGTATATATGTATACACATATATATTTATATATATACATACATATATATGTATATGTATACATATATATATATATACATATATACATTTCCACGTATTACAAAATTACAAAAAAATGGGTAGGTCGGTAGGATATTATTGCTATTATTACTATTAT